CCTTTTTAGTCTGAAATCTGTATGCTAGATATTGAATAAGGTGGTTTTATTGTTTTTTGTCACTTTGAATAATATTTCTGTTCATGTTAAAAACAAAATCAACTCTCTGTATAAATATATCAGGTGACCGTTAAGGCCCATGGGCCTCTTGTTCTTACTACTTTCGTTCAGATTTTTAGTATAAATTCACTTGACCTCACATATTAAAGTTTAATTATTTACTATAATTAGCCTTCGGTTACAAGCTAACCGAGGGGATATGCAATTACAACAGCATGTTTTACGTAAGACCCCCACTAACATCTGGGACAACCAGAGTGATTAATATAAGTTGTAACTTGTTTCATAATTGTTGAAAAATAAATAAAGTTTATATATATATATGTTAAATCCATAAATTTATCTTACCTCCCTATTTAGAAATGATAGATTTAATTTTCAATTATCGTCAAGAGTTAATATTTTTTACCCACTTTTTGACTTAACTGTATTACTGAGGCTAATAAAATGCTAGCTGCAGGTGGAAATCGTGAGCTTGACTTGTGCAGTGATAAATTTGACTTTAATTATCTTCAAAGTAAATATTGTATGCCCGCTTTTGACTTATCTATATGACTGAGGCTAATATCTAAATCGTAAACTTGAATTTTGCATTTCGGTCATTCACAATGGTAATGGAGACATGAAACAATGAGCAAATAAACAATCGACAATAAAAAAAAACTTGAGCAAGTCTTGTGACTATTCATCACAGAGCTATATCAGATTGGGTAGGCTATATACTGTATGTTGTAGACAGGAGTGCCGATATGAGGTGTGACAACCATTATGTGATGTGTATTTTGTTGTGGACGACCATTGTCGGCACCCTGCCACCGTTAACACACACCATCAAACAGGTGCCCCTCTAATTACCTTTAAATGTCTTGAGATAATGGGCGAAGTATTGAGGAGCCCTTCCACACTCAAGCCCCGGCCTGTGTGAATGTACCACAGCTTGGTCACAGACAACAGATCTGCCAGTAGATATATAGTAGAATTAATCTCAACGGCTCCAAATCTTAATTTGTATCAACAATAAGTTTGCATAACTGTATTTTAATGACATTGTTTCAGATCTCTTGTGTTTTTAATTTTTCCTGAAGGTCATATGTCAGTTCATATTTAAATGAGAAATATTAATGAATATATTAACAACATTTCAACAAGCTGTCTAATCGTTAGCTGGTCAGTGTACAAGTGTACAAGTTATACACCAGTTCCATAAACTTAACGACACGGGCAAACTATAAACCTGTCATTTACATAATTTTTCATATTTTTCCAAAACAAGCATGTTTTCTCATTAGTAGCAATATAATTGCCATCAGATGAATGAAAAAATGTTTTTTTTTACTATAACTTTTAAGCTTGTAAAGCTTGATAAACGAAGGATCAATCAACAGCAGAATACAAGATCATCTGATAGCAAACAGAAAGGTTTATCCCTGGTAGAGTTAGCTTGTCTGTTAATCCACCCATAACATCTCAAGCACACACGCATGCCTAGTACACATAGGGAGATATTAGCCAGGTGGCATAGGACAAGTAGTAGTTGGCACCTGATGAGGCAGCCTTGCGAATTTCTCAAAATTGTATTGATTAATATATATGTGAATTGTATTTATTGTATATCTATGTACTGTAAAGCGCTTTAGAGTGGCTTATGTTAGCTAGATGGGGCACTATATCAAATGTTATATATTATTAATATTATGTTATATATTATAATATAGGTGTATTGACAGACGAGGCTAGTACCTGTGGGCTTATAACTGTCTCTCATCAGATTACATTCTTATGGTATGCAGGGATTTAATTGTTTATAAATATTTTGAAAACCTGTCCAATAAATTACTTATTTTGAGAAATTTTTAGAAACTTTTGAGTAAATTTTTATGAACTGACAATTCCTAACACCGTACTGCTATGCTATCAGACACTGGTAATATATTCTAATGATTGCACCTCTACATTCACAGATCAGCCTGACAGCCGGCCTTACTTGGCCTACTTATTTTACTTCGTTTTTCTTCTCGGCTGTATATTTATGGATGTAAATTGACAATTTGGTGTCTGTCTAACTTTATTCGGCCTAATAAACCTACCGCTGCATACAAAATCTAACATCCTCGGTGCCATAAAGTCAGATTTACTCAAGCGTCAATGGACACGTTCCTTGCCAACCCACACTCGCTATTGATGAAAGGTCGTCGTTGCTCCGCCATGCAAAGAAAAGTATATTTCATTTGGCAGTTACATCTGTAACTTATATCTACATAGATCACCTGTTTATTGATTCTAATTCTGGGTTTCCCCGCTTTTAAGTTTTTAAATGCTTCCATGTTCTATTTTTGTGTGTGTTTGTCTGGAATCAGCCCCTGCATTATGTACAGTGAAATCATGACAATCTGGCAGGGAAATTCACTTTTTCTACGATAATGTTTACGAATGCATTCATCAAAAAGGAAAACAGCCAATCACTGATAAAATTGCAGACTAAAGATGTCTTACTCAATGATTCTAATGATAAATTATCACGCGACCAATGGTAATTTGAATACGTCGGTTCTCCAAACACAAAACATCAATTGTGATTCAACAATACCCATCTGTAGTCACAGGATTAATGAGAGATATACTGGTAAAAGTGAAACCAGATATAGACAAAAAATATAAATGACCATATTGACTGCATACGACCTATATACAATATTTAATATCGAGATCTCATCATAATGTTATACAGCAGCTGGACCACAAATAGAATAGACATGACTGGAACCTTCAAGACAAACAGAAACGATACAAGAAGTATATTATTCTGATCTCGGGACGCTGACTTAAACATACTTTATTGCCTCTGAGATAGCGACGGGATTGGGCACAAATGATACAACTTACACAAAGCCCTTTCCGTTAAAAATTACAATGATAATGTCAACACAATTTCAAGATGGCAGCTTAGCATTATCATTCTTACTTATTATATATGATAAATATGGTAAAACATTGGCAAGTTCATAAGCATACATTCACAGGTCACCACTCCTGCACTTACAGAGAGGGGGATAGAGGGATCAAATTGTAGTTAGAATTGAGTGAAAAAGTCCAACGAACACGGAGGGGAGAAATGCAGTTTATATACATATATATGTAGACCATGTGGTTAATCTTTCTCTAATTACCCACCCCCTAGGTGGCAACAACAAACAC